GCTCAACATCAACTTGCTCGACCTGATGTAAGCGCAACTCAACTTAACCAAAGGTCGATTTGGCTATATTCAACCAAAGGTAAGTTTGAATCAACTTGGACTGAGGCAGGTTGAATCAACTTGGTCTTATATAGGCCCAACTAGACTCGGTCCATTATCAACTTAAGTGACTAAATTTGACAGATTGGTTTTACTCGATCTAACATGAATACAAATCTACTTAATCCGATTGAGTCTCACTTAACTCAGTCTAAGATGGTCCAACTTGACTCAATACAAGGTAGGCTTGGCATGACTCTGATAAAGGTTGGTCTAAACTTGGCATGATGTGGACCTGACTTTACTTGGCTCAAAGTGGACTTGACTCAACCCGATCTAAGGTGGGCTCGACCCGACTTGGTCATACTTGGTTAGGGGTGAGACTAACATGACTCGAATAGGGGTATGCTTGATATGACTCAACCAAAGATAAACCTAACTCGAGTTAGCATAAATTGGACATGACTCAACTCGATCTAAGTTGGGCTTGACCTGTCTTGGCTAAAATTGGGCTTGGTCTATCTCGATTGAAGTTGGGCTTAGTCCAATTGTATGTTGGATGAAAGTGGAGTTCTAGTTATGGAGGATCCCTGGACTAAAGATAAGTTATCCCTTTTTGTTGTAATGTGTTAGTTTTTCTGGATTGAGAATGCTAAAAGTAAGAAATGACGAAAAACATGAACCAAATTACTATATTTACCAACAAATTTATCATCGAATTTTTTCTTCAATAATTATCAACATACATAAAATTTTGTCATTAAATATTACTGATGAATTTTAATCCGTCAAAAATTCACTTTTAACATTTTTGAAAGATCATATTTGTTTTTTTAATGTATGTTAGTTTAAAGTTAAATTATATCAACAAATAAATAAAAACAGGCAAAATTGATCATTGAATTAAAATTATGAATGATCTAAAATATGAGAAAAAAATAAAAGAAAAGTTAAAATCACGAATAAAAATGTAAAAGTATATATAATTAGTCTTTTCTTTATCTTCTTTTCCATATTTTTTTTTTCATTCTCAGTTTCTCTTCTAGTGATGTGATTAAAGGGACAATTTGACCTAATTAACATACAATGTATGATATTACGAACTAAAAAGAGTTTCAAAAGAATGACATGCAAACTCGTGTAACAAATTATATTTCATCAACAAATAATATTAGTTTTTTTTTAAAATAGTTTATTGTCCGTGATAATTATTGTTTAAAGGAGAAAGAAAATAAAAAAAAAAACTACTCAAAAGAGAATATATAATGAATTGAAGATTTAACATCAAAGTCAAACTCAAATCTTAAACAGAGAGTCAAAAGTCCAATAGCATGTTGGACGAGAGTGACGTTTCTATTTATTAACTGTTGAACAAAAGAATAAATAAAAAATAAATTTGTTCATCAAAAGAATTAAATCCCATTTAATAATAAAATATGATGATTTGAATCAAAGACATAGACTGATCAATTGTTTATTAAATTATTAGTAACAGATATCACATATTTGAAAATTGAAATATTGAAATTCATTCTTCGGGTCAAAGATAATAAATAACAAAAGAACTAGAAATGCCTACCAAGAGTAATAAAATATTGTAGTATGCTATTTTAATACATTTTTTCAACTACTTTATATTAATTAAATTGTACTTTTTTTGTAATTTTTGTTTTTATTAAACTCCAATGCACATATATCACTTAAATAATGTAACATCCCAAAAATACAGCAATAAACCATATGATAGAATAATTACATTAATAATAATCCAAAATCAGTCTTACACTAAAGTCGAGCGTACGCTCATGGCCGAACGGCCTTACAAAAAGAGTTACAAATTCAAGCCGTACCTCACTACCCAAAACTATCTGACCGGTTTACAAAATATCGACACCGATCATTCATACTTATACAAAAGGGAAGGTGAGCGGACATCCACCTTACTATAACTAGACTATTGACCGAACGTCCTACTCTTCGGTCTTGACTTCGATTTCTTCCAAATTTTCTTCTTCCAGCGCCTTTTCCAGCCGCTCGACTCCTTCTGCTCACATCCACACGGATGATCATTGCAATGACAAGCACAGACGTACAAAACCAGACACGACAGGAAACGCAGGGTAAGCTTGTGTAATTTAATTCATGCATAAACATACATTCCAAACAATCCAACAAAACAAAGTACATTTCATCATACCTATCATATGAAGCCTAGTACTAGACTGACTGTCCGGACTGTATGAAATCTGTGTAGCTACAGGCGTTCATGCACCCGGGTGATGTAGTAACTGGAATACTCTCATCAGCTGCCACCCGAGGTTAATCTTATTCATCCAAAGTACCCCTAAGGACGGGACCTCCTGCCGTTTCCACACATGACCTACCCTCCTCTACGTGAGGACGAGTACTCATGAAACATCAGGATGAACTGCCAGCACTAGCATAACCACAGTCATACTTTACAAATCTTAATTCTCAATCCTGAGTCGTTCCTCCCTGGAACGCTCGTACAAATCCACAACATTCTATTCATCTCATATTTTTTTCATCATTCTTTATCAATCATCTCAAGTTTGTCTTTATTACCAATCATTTTAGTTTCATCTTTCACTTTCAACCATTTCAATTTCCTATTTGATCAAAAATTTATAAAGACGTCAGACCGAACGTAAATCCTCACTCAGAACGAGGACGAACACTTGAGACGAGACAGATAGATCTCTAGTTACATAATAGAATAAGACCGAGAGGTTTACTGTCGGTTTGAGAGAAAACCGAGTGTAATAGATATAGCAAGGAACGAATGAACCGAACGTTCATTACAAAGTGAATCAATTATATGAACCGACTCTTGATAACTCTGACCGAACGCTGAAAAGACCTCACCAAAGGCTACGACTCTAGGCTGGAACCAATCGATACATACACTTCAAGATATTCCAATAATAATACTTAGAAGAATTCTCATGAAGAAACCGAACGCTTATAAATATTTAACTTATTTGATTTTACATCAAGAAATCCGAATGCCAGTAAATGACCGAGCACGGTGGAGAAGAAGATTCTATTTAAGTTAGACGAACGCTATTTTTCATCAAGATAGATTATGTAAGAAACGAGAACGAGCGCTTGGTGTAAAACCGAGCACTACTCAGTACGAGCGCTAGGTGTAAGACCGAGCACTAATAACTTCTAACAAAAGGCTTGATAGTTATAATAAGATGTTATTGAAGTGGTGTTTACGAAAAACATTAGTATACAATTACATATATATATATATATATATATATATATATATATACACACACATTGAGTTTATCACAGTAGACTCAGACACAACTATGCTTAGCCGAACGCTCAAGAATAGTATTACCACACGAGGACGCTCGTCCTCAACTAGGATTCTCTCCAAATGAAAGAATCCAGTTTCAACTAGGTTCACCAGGGAAACCGAACGGTCAATGACCGTTCAGTAACGAACGTACACTTTTATATGAGAAATTTCATACCAGACTTGTTTATTTTCAAACTCATTTCTTAACATATAGTTTCTTAACTTTATACATTTATATCATAATCAACTTTCATACTTCATACAATACATATCATATAAGTTTCTTATTTTCCATACATCAGATAGGGCAACCATCATATATCATATGGTCAAATGTCACAATACTCATACTTCACTTTAATTTTAGTAACTCAACGAACGTTCATTCAATCTAATCACATTAGTCATCATGCATCAAAATCATTCAATCAACTAAACGAACGTTCAAACATTTCAACAGCATACAAATTAAATTAAATAAGCTTCCCTTACCTCTGAGCGTGACCGAACGTTCCCAGACGCAGAAATACAATTTGACCACTACAGGTTCTTCTACCGTCAACGCTTGACAAATTCAACTACACCAAGTGACAACCCGACACTATCAGAACTACTCATTTTAAGAATGTTTATCAACATACGAACCCAGAACTGGGTTTGCATGTTGAGGAAAACGAACGACAAAGCGAAGAGAAAGACTTACCAGCCCAGCTTCACAAACCGAACGGTTTATCTGGAAGCTCTGGACGCCGGAAGTGCTTCTATGGTGCCGGAATATTGACCGGAGGAGAGAAAGTGAGTGTTTTCTAAGAGAGAAGATGAAGAGGAGGTAGACAGAAGGAGGAGAAAATGGGATTCTTCAGAAATCTGGAAAGAGGGTGCATGCAGAGAGTAGAGTGTTTTTCTGAAAATCCAAGTTTTGCTTCCCACTCAAAAAACGTCCCCTTCTCAGTCGACACCTGTTTCCCACTAACTGATTTCTGACTCCTCTCAGCTTGACACCTGGCGTTCGTCACCTGAGTGTCGAGCTCCCCTCTTGACACGTGAATTCCACTAAACAAATACGTGTGTGAATTTTACTGGTTTTTGACTTTTGATTTTACTGACAAATAATATTTTATTTTAAGAATTTTATAATCAACTTACGGTATCCATTTTACCATCAAGTTTTATTTTTATTTTTTGTTAAATTTGTGGATACGTTAAATTTAGCTATAGAAATAATAAAGTAAAGAAAAATATTTTTAAGAAATGATAACAAAACAACGATGCTTTGATGATTTTATTATTACACGTCATCACTATATAAATATTTAACAAATCCTGTGAATTTTTGCGAACATTTAAAACTTTAATGACAAAATCACCAGATAAAATTTGCAAAAAATAATGATAGTTAAGTGATAAAATATGCAGTCAAATATTTATTTAATAACTTTGTTTTGGTAATTTTGAATTAATTTAACAGTTGGTTCTAATTAATTGTGACTATTAGAGGAAGAAGTGATAGCAATGTAAGATTATTTTGAACAACAATTTAAATGTATCATTTTTAAAAATAATGTTATTGAAATAATATTTCAATAAATGTAACACTTTATAATGAACGGCGTTGAACAGAGAGAAACCAAGTCAGACACGTATAGAACACTTGTTGCACCAAATTCTAGCCAATTAGCAGTGCACGAAAGACTTAACACACCGGCTATTACTTCCACGCCCATTTCCAGATCTCAACAACACTCATACTCATGGACAGTCGTAAAGAGGTTTTTCTTTTCTCTTTCTCCAAACTATTATTTTTCTTCGTTGCTTAACCTAATCCTTCTCCAGTGGAATGGATTCTTTCTCTGTATTGTTTGCGTCTAATGTTAATATTCACTGAATAACTGCATCTGGCTATTAAATTGCATGCTGCTGGTTGAGTTGAACTGTATGAAGCTGAAAAACTGAGATTGTGATTGTATGAAACTTAGTTTTGTCTGGTTTAAATTTAGACATACACAGGACGAAGATCTTGAGTACAGATACAATTGTTTACTTGTTTATGCTGGAATTTTTTTCTTTGCCAAAAGGCGAAACTCTGATTTTAATCTAAGAACTACATGTTTTGACCGTTTCCAGAATCAACATGCATATGCAAAGATTGTTGTATTTCTTTGCTTTGTTTGATTCTTTCTTGTTTTCTCTAATTTTTAAATGGAGGCATGGGTACCGTGAGTCATTCGCTTCTCTTTCCAGTTCAGCTTCACGAATAGTTTCGTTTTAATTTTTAAATCTCAAATGGATCCGGATCACCTGTAGCTAGTTTGTTACAGGTTGTTTTTTTTGGCTTTTACTGTTGCATTTTCTTTTATTGTTTTGTGTGTGCTTTTTCCTTTTTCAAAGGATGAAGATTCTCTACAATTAATTGTTTTTAGAGAAATTTATTTTTATTAACCTATAGGGAACCTTGATTCTTTTAAAAAGATTATGACAGTGTTGCAGTCGTATAAGTAATAATAAATTTTTTTCTAAAGCTAAGAAATAGACAAATTCTTCACTATACAATCCAACTCTTTCATTTGTACCAGTTTTTTTGGTATGCTTATTAAGCATAAAGTTGATATGAACAGTTAATTATTCTTATTAGCTGACTTTGTTGTAAATCTTGTGAACGTAGAAAAATGGCACTTGGCTATCAGTACCACAATTTGGAGACTGGGATCAGAAGGGCCAAGTGCCAGACTACTCTCTTGATTTCTCAAAGATAAGGGAAACTAGGAAGCAGAACAAGACAAACATTTCGAGGGCAAGTCTTGGTAATGAAGAAGAGTTCGATGATTCAACCTCGAGCAGCGCAAACACTGGTCACAGTGAGCACTCCCAACCTCACTACCATCAAACGGTTCCTCCAAATGTAAGATTATCCAGAAGCTTCCCAGTTCTTTGTTTTATTTTCTTAAAAAGGATCAATTTAATTGTTTAAAACAAATAAAATATAGTACTTGAAGATATTTTTTGCTTAAATAATTTTATATAAAAAATGGATTAATTTACTGTAGAAATGAGATTTCAAGGACTTTTTTTACAAAATTAGTGTAATTTTGGAGAGGAATTACGGAAAAGGTAGATTCAAAGTTTTTATTGCTTTTCAGTATGTTGTGTTATGGGAAAACGACTTTAGTGGAAGAAGTTGTGCACCATCAGCACAATTTCAATTGGAGTTGAAAATTGTGAGGGAAATCATGTCATGATAGAACAACTTCCAATTTTTTTTATGCACTTGAAGTTATTTTGGTGTAAAATGTGTTTAGAAAAAAATTGTGCTCACACATAATATAACGATTTTTAATTTAGAAAATAAAATTAAAAGTTGTGCTTATGTAGCAAGACTATGTGGATAAAATGGGAGGAAAAACCAGTGTTATGTAACACAACTTATTAATCATAAATTGTGTAAACCAAATATAATTTGAGTGTAGCTGGTATTGAATAGAAGTCATGTTCTTAGGTGAAGACTTTCATTTTTTTTATCATTAAATTATAAGTAGTTTGTGACTAGAAAAAAAAAGAGTAGAATTTATCCACGAATATAATTTTTCGAAAACAACAAATATTTATCAACAACTTTTGATGACTTATCGACAATCAAAAATTCGTTGATAATATCATTATTGGTAACCATTATCGATGGATATAGGTCGTTGGTAATTATCGATAGATACATCCTTCGATAAATTCATCAAAAAGACGTAACACCAACATTGCAATTCGCAACCAATTTTTAACCAAGCGGGCAAATCCCAACAATAGTCACTAACACCAACACGATCAATTGCAAAAATAGGGCTCACCATTACTCAGAATTAACACCATGTTACCAAGAATAGGGGATCAACAGTTATCACTTTAATCACAAACCAACTTACCTTGACGATAACACCTCACAACAACCTCTGACAATGACGACACCCTCCGTAGACCACGGTAGGGGAAGAAACACAACAGAAAACCTCCACCAAGATCCTTTAGTCAAGTTCCCTCTCACATACAACGCACACTCGAGCAAGAATCCTCGAACAAGAACCTTACAACCTAAAACAATAACTCTCGAACAAGAACCCCCAACGTCATAGCACCAGCCTCCCAATGAAAGTGTCAACACGATGAACCCTCCATGATAATCGATGAAACCCAACGTTAAATGAGGGAACGAAGCGTTGAACCAACCTTTGCAATGGAGGATCTACGATTGCAATTGAGACTGAGCGAATGACAAAGATGCTGGCTGACAGAGACGGTGGCTAACGGAGAGGGCCTCTGGCACTTAGAATCAAGGAATGCAAAGGGAATGTTGGGCGAAGAAGAAATGTGAAATGAAATTTGAACAAGAGGGAAAACTATTTTTTCCCAAATTCTTAATCAACTTAACTCTTGTGCTTACCAACAGATCTTGTCTATCGGTAATGAGTCATAAAATTTACCTATGGAATTCGTCGGTAAAGACCATTGTCACAAGTCGTCAATAAATCTATGAATAAATAACAATTATCAACGGAACAAAAGTTGTCGGTTATGGTCCGTGGGTAAATTCATTAATTCTTGTAGTGTGTGCAACATGACTTTGGCTTAAAAAGTCATGTTGGGTTTAAGTGACCTTATTGTAACTTTTCTTATCAAAACCAAAAAGAATTAGTAATTAAATATCGTGGATATGGAATNGCCGAACGCTCAAGAATAGTATTACCACACGAGGACGCTCGTCCTCAACTAGGATTCTCTCCAAATGAAAGAATCCAGTTTCAACTAGGTTCACCAGGGAAACCGAACGGTCAATGACCGTTCAGTAACGAACGTACACTTTTATATGAGAAATTTCATACCAGACTTGTTTATTTTCAAACTCATTTCTTAACATATAGTTTCTTAACTTTATACATTTATATCATAATCAACTTTCATACTTCATACAATACATATCATATAAGTTTCTTATTTTCCATACATCAGATAGGGCAACCATCATATATCATATGGTCAAATGTCACAATACTCATACTTCACTTTAATTTTAGTAACTCAACGAACGTTCATTCAATCTAATCACATCAGTCATCATGCATCAAAATCATTCAATCAACTAAACGAACGTTCAAACATTTCAACAGCATACAAATTAAATTAAATAAGCTTCCCTTACCTCTGAGCGTGACCGAACGTTCCCAGACGCAGAAATACAATTTGACCACTACAGGTTCTTCTACCGTCAACGCTTGACAAATTCAACTACACCAAGTGACAACCCGACACTATCAGAACTACTCATTTTAAGAATGTTTATCAACATACGAACCCAGAACTGGGTTTGCATGTTGAGGAAAACGAACGACAAAGCGAAGAGAAAGACTTACCAGCCCAGCTTCACAAACCGAACGGTTTATCTGGAAGCTCTGGACGCCGGAAGTGCTTCTATGGTGCCGGAATATTGATCGGAGGAGAGAAAGTGAGTGTTTTCTAAGAGAGAAGATGAAGAGGAGGTAGACAGAAGGAGGAGAAAATGGGATTCTTCAGAAATCTGGAAAGAGGGTGCATGCAGAGAGTAGAGTGTTTTTCTGAAAATCCAAGTTTTGCTTCCCACTCAAAAAACGTCCCCTTCTCAGTCGACACCTGTTTCCCACTAACTGATTTCTGACTTCTCTCAGCTTGACACCTGGCGTTCGTCACCTGAGTGTCGAGCTCCCCTCTTGACACGTGAATTCCACTAAACAAATACGTGTGTGAATTTTACTGGTTTTTGACTTTTGATTTTACTGACAAATAATATTTTATTTTAAGAATTTTATAATCAACTTACGGTATCCATTTTACCATCAAGTTTTATTTTTATTTTTTGTTAAATTTGTGGATACGTTAAATTTAGCTATAGAAATAATAAAGTAAAGAAAAATATTTTTAAGAAATGATAACAAAACAACGATGCTTTGATGATTTTATTATTACACGTCATCACTATATAAATATTTAACAAATCCTGTGAATTTTTGCGAACATTTAAAACTTTAATGACAAAATCACCAGATAAAATTTGCAAAAAATAATGATAGTTAAGTGATAAAATATGCAGTCAAATATTTATTTAATAACTTTGTTTTGGTAATTTTGAATTAATTTAACAGTTGGTTCTAATTAATTGTGACTATTAGAGGAAGAAGTGATAGCAATGTAAGATTATTTTGAACAACAATTTAAATGTATCATTTTTAAAAATAATGTTATTGAAATAATATTTCAATAAATGTAACACTTTATAATGAACGGCGTTGAACAGAGAGAAACCAAGTCAGACACGTATAGAACACTTGTTGCACCAAATTCTAGCCAATTAGCAGTGCACGAAAGACTTAACACACCGGCTATTACTTCCACGCCCATTTCCAGATCTCAACAACACTCATACTCATGGACAGTCGTAAAGAGGTTTTTCTTTTCTCTTTCTCCAAACTATTATTTTTCTTCGTTGCTTAACCTAATCCTTCTCCAGTGGAATGGATTCTTTCTCTGTATTGTTTGCGTCTAATGTTAATATTCACTGAATAACTGCATCTGGCTATTAAATTGCATGCTGCTGGTTGAGTTGAACTGTATGAAGCTGAAAAACTGAGATTGTGATTGTATGAAACTTAGTTTTGTCTGGTTTAAATTTAGACATACACAGGACGAAGATCTTGAGTACAGATACAATTGTTTACTTGTTTATGCTGGAATTTTTTTCTTTGCCAAAAGGCGAAACTCTGATTTTAATCTAAGAACTACATGTTTTGACCGTTTCCAGAATCAACATGCATATGCAAAGATTGTTGTATTTCTTTGCTTTGTTTGATTCTTTCTTGTTTTCTCTAATTTTTAAATGGAGGCATGGGTACCGTGAGTCATTCGCTTCTCTTTCCAGTTCAGCTTCACGAATAGTTTCGTTTTAATTTTTAAATCTCAAATGGATCCGGATCACCTGTAGCTAGTTTGTTACAGGTTGTTTTTTTTGGCTTTTACTGTTGCATTTTCTTTTATTGTTTTGTGTGTGCTTTTTCCTTTTTCAAAGGATGAAGATTCTCTACAATTAATTGTTTTTAGAGAAATTTATTTTTATTAACCTATAGGGAACCTTGATTCTTTTAAAAAGATTATGACAGTGTTGCAGTCGTATAAGTAATAATAAATTTTTTTCTAAAGCTAAGAAATAGACAAATTCTTCACTATACAATCCAACTCTTTCATTTGTACCAGTTTTTTTGGTATGCTTATTAAGCATAAAGTTGATATGAACAGTTAATTATTCTTATTAGCTGACTTTGTTGTAAATCTTGTGAACGTAGAAAAATGGCACTTGGCTATCAGTACCACAATTTGGAGACTGGGATCAGAAGGGCCAAGTGCCAGACTACTCTCTTGATTTCTCAAAGATAAGGGAAACTAGGAAGCAGAACAAGACAAACATTTCGAGGGCAAGTCTTGGTAATGAAGAAGAGTTCGATGATTCAACCTCGAGCAGCGCAAACACTGGTCACAGTGAGCACTCCCAACCTCACTACCATCAAACGGTTCCTCCAAATGTAAGATTATCCAGAAGCTTCCCAGTTCTTTGTTTTATTTTCTTAAAAAGGATCAATTTAATTGTTTAAAACAAATAAAATATAGTACTTGAAGATATTTTTTGCTTAAATAATTTTATATAAAAAATGGATTAATTTACTGTAGAAATGAGATTTCAAGGACTTTTTTTACAAAATTAGTGTAATTTTGGAGAGGAATTACGGAAAAGGTAGATTCAAAGTTTTTATTGCTTTTCAGTATGTTGTGTTATGGGAAAACGACTTTAGTGGAAGAAGTTGTGCACCATCAGCACAATTTCAATTGGAGTTGAAAATTGTGAGGGAAATCATGTCATGATAGAACAACTTCCAATTTTTTTTATGCACTTGAAGTTATTTTGGTGTAAAATGTGTT